TTTTTTATCGTAAGTTGTACTAAAATTTACGCTTTTTGACTTCTGAAGTACAACAATACAATTGTATTCTTGATGAATGATTTATATAGACGTACGATATGCAATCTTACACGATATTGCATAGATTTTCGCGTATTAAATGGCGGGAAAATTGCATATAATTATATCTATATTAATCAGATAATAACATTTGAGTAGCAGAAGAGTGACATGCAATTTGCGAGACATAAAGGAAGAATTCTTTGTCCTTTAACTATGATATCAATTTTTATATTACTGTGACCAATATTTCGAAAAAACTTTACGTATCCAACTTTTTGAAGCTAATCTAATAAAAAGTTTTTCTTAAATAAATAAGAGGAAATGATAATAAATTAAAACGAGATTCCTACAATTTGCACTATTTTAATATTTGTCAAAAATATACGGTATACATAATCTAAAGAGAAAAAAAAGTTATAAAATTAAATTATAGTACCGGTCTATCAAATCAAAAATTATTTGCAAACATTTAATTTGATTGTAATATATACAAAAATTGAATAGTGCAATAAAATACGTTTAAATAAACATACGTTTGAAAGAAAGATATGATAGACCTTGGTATTATAAAAGTAGTCGTGAGCGATCGCCGTGAATGTATACGCAATTAAAGAAAAATGAAATTTTGTATCTATTGGATAGCGAACTATTACTTATAGATTAAAAAAAAATATATATATATATATATATTATATATAACGCGAGAAGGGAAATTCATAGTATTAATTATGGAAGGAATAAAATGCAAAATATATATTTTATCTTTACTCGTATATATGCGCATTAAATTACAAGATATACGTAAATTAAACCAGGTACCGTGAGTGTATGCAAAAGTAGAACGTAAAACTGAACGTAAAATGCAACAATGTGTACGTACGAAGATAGTCCATATTCGATAAGAGTAACATCTAAAATCTAATTCATAAAAATAAAGAAATAGCGTTAAGTAAACGGGTATGTGTCAGTCGCAGTGAGTGAAAATGGCGGTCACGAATTTTCAATTGGATTTTTGTCTAGATAAAAAATACCATATCCGCCATTAAATGTACACCATGGGAGAAACGCGTAATGAAAATTTTATTTACTATTGTCTATGATACGGGAGAGAGCGGCGCGGCACTTGCAAAAAAATGTACATAAGTCCGATCTTTTTAACTAGGCTATCCGTAAAAAAAAAAGCTATCAGATAAGTAGAACAAAGAGAAACGAGGAAATATAAGAAATAATGCTTGTCAATGAACGAGTAATTTTCAAACCGTAATATTGTTTAGTCCGGTAATATTTATTGATACATGTTATATACCGCAAAGTGAATCTTTCTGTTTGTTTAATTGATTACAATAAATATTTTTTATAATGTACTAGATAAAGTTGTAGGTATTTGTATATGTACCATTAATCTTCTAACACTTCCTTGAGTATCTCTACGAAATGATATGGATCGGTAGAGACTACGAAATCCTTATGCTGATGTACTCTCGCATATCCAATTATTTTTATCGGACTACACGTATCGGATGATAGATACGAATAGATACAAAACGATGTTTGACAGAATAAAGCGTAAAAAATTCGCTCATTTTTATGTCAATAATTTGTTAAATTTCAATTTTTCAATCAGATTTCATAGAAAACCTAAAACAGCAAAACATTTTTGATTATACAAACGTTAAGCAAGCAAATTATAAAAAGCTTGTCCTTCTACGTGTATGCGCCGAAGAGTTCCTGACTTCCTGACTTCGCATTTCAGGAAGATGTCATTACTTTCATATATCTTTTAAGTCTCATATTTCTGTCCAAATACATAAAATATATAGGCTATATATAGCAAGTCCTTCGCTTCTTCATCATTCATCAAACTTAAATTATTACGAAATATATGATTTATATTGTTTTTATAACAATGTATGACGAAAGACATAGAATTTCAGTACTTCTTAAATGATATTCGAGTATACATTGGAATATTTATTGATTTTATTTTTTTTCATAAATTTTATGAAATGCACTAAGTTGATTAATATATTTACTTTAATCTCTTTATCTTTGAACTTTGATATATTTGCAAATGTAAAAAAAGATTGAAACATTGCTATAATGCAGCTAGAAATCGCCATAACTATACAAAAGAAATTTCCGAATTTTGCTATCTCGAATGTTTCGTGAGATATGCGGTCTTATCAATTATAGGTTCCGCCATGTGAAGACTGATAGACTCTGTAATGCAAGACAAGAATATTGTATACAATAGTTGCTAAAACAAGAAGATATCCAGATCGATATAATTATTTATCGATAGAAATAATTATTTAATTTTGTATCATTGACATTTGAATTGAATAATTATTCCAAAAAATTATTTCACAGATTGAGACTCAATTTAGAGCAATTTCGGAGCTTTACTTGTAAAATCTTTCCGTTTGTAAATCAAGGTACTCAAATACAAGCAATAAAATTTTCCGAAGTTGCTCTACATGTGTGTGTGTGTGTGTGTGTGTGTGTGTGTGTGTGTGCGTGTGTGTGTGTGTGTGTGTGTGTAACTTTCATTCTGATGTTCCGGAGGACATGCAGGCAAGCAAGATGAATTTGTATATAATTAGTCATGAAAAGTATATGAATGCGAATGAAAGTTTTTCTTTTAATTATCGGCAGGGCAATGTGAAAGGCGACGTCTGACGTCGCGGTATCGAATCGCGAGCCGCGACCCCTGTATACGATACCGCGTAGGTAAAGTAGGTACCTGTTTACTAGATTAAAAAACCTTACAAAGTAACGGTAGCAGAGGTCTAATTAATCACTATTTATTGATACGATATAGTAACGATATTCACACATGGTTGAGTTCTGCGGGTAACTCGATTACTCAGTGACTCGACGAAAATATAACTAGAGTAAGAGGATGACAATATTTCGAGAACCGCCACGTTGTCGTCTGCTGATGAACTTACGTCTCTCCAGTGTGTTGCGCTTTAACGATTTTAATTATAAAAAAAATCTTTAACAAAACTTGAGCAGAGATTCTTTTATCGTTATTGCAAATTATTTTTCAAATATTTTAAAGTTATATTCAATGGAAAGAAAAACAATATTACAACTTTAACTTGCATTTTAAAGTGGACGGTACTTTGACTCGTGATTGTATAATAATGTTCATGTTTATATGGAACATTCACGTGCGATTTCTACGAAATATAACTATACCAAGGTCACTAGGAGTCGACCTACAAATTCGAATGCAAGTTCCGGATATACTACATGCGAGACACAATCTGGGAGACAAGTCGTGATTTATTTAGGAAGGAAGGCTACAACGCTGTTCCATAAAAATTTGCGTTAACATGTTTTCCTGAAGGATGAGGTACGATCTGCGATTATGTTTGCTATCTCTTAGCTACACACTTGAGTCACTATGGTTACGCATTGCCCCGACCGAAAACACAAAGTGTATATGTATCATATATTCTACATATTATATATACACACGTATACACATACACATACATGAATACAAATTCAACATACAATATATACACATTGCCTATTTACAAAAGACCGGGTACAATGCATTCGTTCCAACGATTGTGCGGAAGAAATACTTAAGTACAGGTGTGCCTAGCAGCCGAAAATAAAAACACTGGGCAACACTGCTTTATCGAACGATAAATCGAAGAACAAAATATAAATAAATGAATCTATATATATAAATATATATACATATAAATTATATATATATATAAATATATATATTTAAATATAAATATACGATAATTATTACAGCTATAACAAACGTATATAGTTATTTTGTAGTGTCTCGCATTATGTAAACTATATGTATACATAAAGAGTACGACAATGACGATGTTGATGATGATTGCAATGGTAAACAATGTCTTACGCGAGTGAAGTATGTATTATGTATAATGATGAAAACACGACGACGATGGATAATAGTATTATGTATATGCTATCATGTCGACAAGTCTAAACCGTATTGTATTATATTATATAAGAGTCTGTCCATATTAATAATATTAATTATTATTATATTAATTATAATAGCTGTGTTTGAAAACGAGAAATAAATTGTGGTTGAATATGAAATAGGAGATGTGGTAAAAACGAATCTGTCGTGTTCCCCTTATCATTACTTTGCGTCATTACAATGCTACTTTTCTCGATGGTCAATCGGTGAAAAGATCGACGATGAGCCGGATTTTCGCAGATTCTCAGCATGCAATCGTGATTTCTGTACTCGTATGCGGATATCACGATTAGTACGCCACTGGCTTTCTTTCGAGAGAGTAGTCCAGCATACCCGGAGGTTGCGTTTATACGAATTGCAGCGGAAGGAACCATTGTATAATCCAAGATGGCCTCCACCTCGGAGAGGATTATTATTGGCTAATACGAAGCAAGAGGCCCCGCCTTGGCTCACGGCTCGTGACGGGATGATGTATTGGGATTTCTGTCTGTTCGCCCCTGCGCTGCAACGAACACACCGTGCCTAGCTTGCCTAGACGGTAGGTATGCTCGGATTTGCGATATTGGATTTCGACATCTCGACCGAGTGCAGCTGCAACCATTCTTCCACGATGGACAGACGTCTTCCTTCCACGTGTCCACATGCATTCCAGCATGCCTCTCAAGTGTCAATATCAGATTCAATTTCAGATATCGCGAGCTTTACTTTGTTCTTTTCCAATTATTCGCTTGGTTTTCTTTCTGTTTTTGTTTTTTAATTAGAATTAATTTCAAAATGTCTTTTCGTTTGCGAAAGCTTGTAAAAAAATCAACACGTTAATTCGGAATTATATATAAGCACAATATGATTTTAATTACGATATTAAAATAGAATATGTTTAAATATATTTTTATAAGTAAGGATATATGAAGTACTAGTGAAAGCAATTCGAACATATAAGAACTCGTGCCTAACTTAACATTAATCTATCAATTATTAATTATCAATTGATTAGTGTCGAAACGTTATATTACTTTACTTTTACTGTTATATTACTTTACACCGATCCATCAAGAACCTCTATGATAACAACGTTAAATATAAATCAAGCGATCACATTAATCACATATATTTTTATTCAGAAATATAGAAATTTCGTTATAGAAATCAACGAGATAATGCGATAGATGTTACTTGTTGACGAAACGTAAGATGAGTATAATTGACGGAAGTCTTATAGCTGTCGCACTTCCGGAACTGGGTAATCCGAATCCGGGTCATGCGAGATGGCGAAGAATTCATCGTCAAGTGAGTATATCTATATAGCGGATTGCGTATTTATGGTTTAAAGCAACGGAGCGCACGGTGACCTTTGCCAATTCGGTTGTTGCAGGTGAATCCACGTTGCAAATGCATGTGAGGCAACGCGGGAATCGCGTAGGCAGGACGAACGGAGGGAGCGAGATAGCGAGGATGTGGAAGAGAGAGCGAAGAGAGTCGGCGGAGTAGAGACCTGGGAAGATAGAGGAGCCGGTGGGAGGATGGCGGTTAGAATTTATGGCCGCTTTATCACTTTACCGGCCTTGCCGCGTCTCCTTTAGCCCGTGAGGAGGGCAGGATCTCACGATGAACTTTGGCACTCGACTACGCTGCACTCGACGAGCGGTGAGCCCGTTAACTTTCTTGTTTACTCGCATTTCGCGAGAGATTACAAGTACACCTGTTCTCTCTCTCTC